GTATTTTTAGTAGAGATGGGGTTTCACCATGTTAGCCAGGATGGTCTCGATCTCCTGACCTCGTGGTCCGCCCGCCTCGGCCTCTCAAAGTGCTGGGATTACAGGCATGAGCCACTGCGTCCAGCCCTGGCTTGGTAACTTGATCACAAAAGGGTTCAGCAGAGAAGCTCAGTGATTCCTATGCCTTGAGCAAATAATCATTAATCTTTAACTCCTGGGCAGGATGTCTTGTTAGACTAAGTTTCAGGAGGGCAACACTTGAATGTTTTACCATCCAGGCCAGCAGAACAAATTTTTCAATCAGTGGGAAGTAGCATCATTATCACCTGTGAGTTCATCTGACTGATCACCATTTTATACTATTGTTCCAAATGCGTTCCAGGCATTAAATACAAATGAACTCTTAGACACCAACCTATCTGTCAGTTTTGGGTTTTTGTTTCTTCACGCATAAAATGGAGATAATAGTATGTATCTGAAGAATTCTTGAGAGGACCAAGTGAGATAACATTGGTAAATTAGCAAAACACCCAGCACATGGACTTTCAATAGCAGTTAGTGTCCCTCTTTGTTCACAAGTAGTAACTATTAGTAAGAGGCTCTTTTTCGTAGTGTCCGCCTTCATTTCTATCCTATCCATCTCTGTCATTTCTGGGTTACCGCTAATGAAAAGGAAACTCTGTAATTCAGGCTTTTTCCTAATTCACTTTTACCAACACTCATTTCATTTCCCACTCCCCACTTTCCATCCAGAGTGAAATTTGACTTCTGCAAATGAATAGTCGGCCTTGATTAGAATAGGTGTCAACATAGATTTTGGAGATCCAATCAGTAGTAAACACTTAACTAATTTGTTTCTAGATTGCAACTCCCTTACAAGAAAGAATACATAAAAGTGGTATTTCTAAATCTAGTCAGGGCTGTTGTTGAGTTCTCAGATAACAAAACTGGTAATTTCTTTAATATTGCACATTTTAATTAGTTTTATTTATATAGAAATATGCTTTTTTGTTTGCTTGATTATTTTTATTCAGTGATTATAAAGATGTGTCGACATAAATTGTCCAAAGCTAAGTCAGACTATGAATTGTATTGAAGCTTAGCACTACAATTCTGCATGCTTGATTTAACATCAACTACAATGATTGGTAACATCAGTAGTTTTCAGAAAAATATGAACAGCTGTCCCCCAAAGACCCAAACTTTGAACCCAGCTTGAACCTAATAGGAAGCTCAAAAGTTGGTAAGGCCTATCTAGAAACTCATTTTACATTTCTCTTTTGTTTTGTGGTAGGTATTTAAATTAACTACAACAATGAGGGATGAGTCCTGCATACATGCAATTTCTTACTATCATATTTGCTTGTTTGCTTGCAGACTTTCTTCCTTTGCACTTTGGAACCCATCCATCTCCTTTAAATCGTAGTTCCTTGGGGTTCTTTTTGGTCTTCTCTCTGCCAAAATCCTTTACCTCCTCTTCCCCATTAAAACCTACTTTCTGGAGAAGTTCTGATTTCAGTCATTTCTGCCATAGTGAGAATTTGACAGTTTATTTTCTTTCTTCGTGGGTTCCGAGATGCGTTATGCAATGGAAAGAGCTTCTAGTTGTAAACACGGTGGTTCAGGCATCTGGTCCAAATAAATAAGGTTCCTAGTCTAGCCACTGTTACTTTTCAAGCAGAAAAGTAAGAAAAAATAATTGTCAAAAAGAGGAGCATTCATGGAGGATTTGAATGGCCTTTCATATTTAAGCCTTTTTGTTTGTTTGTTTGAAAATTCTAGTACACCAAGGTAGGGAAAGGCAAAAACAACAACAATGAGAACACATAAACAAAAATCCCAACTCCCCCAACAGCAACCACAAAACAAAAAAACTAAACAAAATAAACAAACATGCCGGCCCAGAAAGGTGAGAGCTTGCAATTACTCCTGGCTTCTTTTTATAACGGAATGAGACCCATTTATTTAGTTCTTATGAATTATAGGAGCTGTAATGTGGACCAACTGCCCTAGCCTCACCAACCACACAAGATTCTCTTTTATGTATGACAAAAATGACTGAGCTTCATGCACATTAACTTTTAGCTCATTCCATGGAGATGGGACACTCCTGGCTGCTTGTCTAGCAACCTGGCTGCCTGTCTAGCATGTCTGGCTTTGGAACAAGGATTCCCATTTCAGAATGATGAGAGTAAAAGCCCTTTTACTGTGTATAGCACATTATAAATTATTTTCACATCTGTGAACTTATGTTAGCTTCACAACAACTTTGTTGATTTTATGATTCCCATTTTATAAATGAGGAATGTGGGCTGGAGAACATGAAGTGCCCAAATGAGGAACGTGTAAGTGTTAGAGCAAGGAAAATAGACTGCACCCCTGCATTGACCTTGAGGCTGATTGGGTTCTAATTATTTCCAAAGATGCAGGGGTGAGTTGATTGATGAACTCAGCTCAATCTTTAGTCATGTTTGATCAGAGTCCTTTAATCAGAAATAGTTTGATGTAGGAGGGCAAGGTGGGAATTGTCAAGGGAAGAGACTGGAAAAGAGCCTAAGGGCCTTTGCATCATGTTAAAGAACTTAGGTTCTATCCCGTATGTGATGGGGAGGCACTGAAGGGTTGAGAAAGTACAATCAATTTCCATTTTATAAAGATCGCTATCGGCCCTCAACCTTTCATCTAAAATTGTTGGGACTAGATGTGAATCAGAAATGAGAATTTTTTCAGATTTCAGAAGAATAAAACAATGCATATGTTGTTTATTTTACTAACATTAAGTTGGTAAAGTCATTTTCCAAGAAGTGGTACTCAAATTAATTCAGGTAAGCTGCTTCGTGATTCTCTAAATTGACATGGACACATTATTCAATAAATCAGAAAAACAAGTTTGCAGGCACTTCGGAAGAGAACACAAAGAGAATAAACAGAGAGTCCAAGAGGGGCACTGGAGAGATGCAGCCCTAAACTTCCGCTAGATCCCAGTTTAGCTGACATCATTAAGAGAATTCTAATGAATCTTCAATTGGGATTCAGGCCTCCAGCCGAGCTCATCCAGGAGTGTTATATACAGCTACAAAGGCAGGATAGTATTTATTTCCACCTTGCAGTTTCCTATTACCCTTTTATTGGCCCTTCTGAAACAAAGCGATTATTTTAAAAATTATGTGTATGCGTTTAGAACCGATCCATTAAGCCGGCACCAAGGAGAACGTCTTGACACTCTATGGAATCTCAAAAAGTATGATATGATGGCAATAAAGTGGCTCTTCAGCAGAATGTGTTTGAGGTGTCTTTGTCTACAATGGTTAAAGAGACAGGAGGAGACAGCGCCTTCCTCCACACATGTTAGTGTGAAGTGGTCGTGGTGGATTGTTGTTCTTATTCTTCTTATTCCTCATTGAGAGTAGTTGCCTAAGGTATCTAAGAAGCGGTAATTCTTGCTCTTCATCTTTGTAAAAGATACTGAAAATATGTTTCATTATTCCCCCAAGTCCACCTGGTGTCTATCCCAGGGCTTCAGTGTAATTAATATGTGAAATCGGACTGTCTATGCGTAACATATAGACAGTAGAATCAAAGTGAAGTTGAAGAGTCAGCCAGGTGTCATAGAGAAAGCACTGAATTCAGAATCAGAAGGTTTGGCTTTGAATCCTGGATCTACTACTTACTATCAGTAAAGCTGGGTGAACTTGGATAGGGTTTGTCTTTTTAATTTTTTTAATTGGTGAATTTGTTTTAATATGTCCTTTTTTGCTTTAATGTTCGATTTAATATGTCCTTGTTTTAATAGTTTTTCCTCTGTTGTGCAAAGATTCCCCATGTAATAGGTCCTTTAGTTCATTAGATATTTACTATTCTTGAAAGAAGCACATCCACTTTTAATTTTTGAGATATATATATATATTATTCCAGCTTATATTTATGCATTCTTGCCAAAAATTGTTACATATTAATAATGACATTTATTGAGCACTTAAAATGCACCATATGTTTTGATGTCCATGCATTTGCTATTATGAGAACAAATGCATATAATTATTTTTAACTTTTATTTTAAGTTCAGGGGTACAAGTGCAGGTTTGTTACCAGGTAAACTTGTGTCATGGGGGTTTGTTGTACAGATTATTTCATCACCCAGGTATTAAGTCCAGTACTCATTAGTCATTTTTCCTGATCCTTTCCCTCCTCCCACCTTCTACCTTCTGGTAGGCCCAGTGTGTGTTGTTCCCCCTATGTGTCCATGTGTTCTCATCATTTAGCTCCCACTTATAAGTGAGAACATGGGGTATTTGGTTTTTTGTTCCTGTGTTAGTGTGCTAAGGATAATCCAAATCCAACTCCATCTATGTCCCTGCAAAGGACATGATATCATTCTTTTTTATGGCTGCATAGTATTCCATGGTATATGTGTACCACATTTTCTTTATCCAGTCTATTATTGATGGACATTTAGGTTGATTCTATCTCTTTGCTATTGTGAGAAGTGCAAATGTATATAATTTTCATGATCTTCTCCAAATGGAACTTCTCTTAGTTTTTTCCTTATATTTTTCCTGATTACCATATAGTTTTTATAAAGTTACTCAATCGTTCACCTATTATCAGACAATTACTGTCCAAACTCTCAATGACATACAAATGTAAGGGTTTATTGTTATTCTTTCAAAACTGAATCTCCAAGTAGGAAATATCTGTCAGTGGGACAGAGTAAGACTTTATGATTGGAAAGATAAATGAAACTCTATGAAGCATCCCCATTTATTTTTGGCTATTTCTACAATAATAATATTTCTATAGCACTTTATAGTTTAAAAAGTCTCTTCATTTCGATTAATCTTCACAGTAACAGTCTGAGGTAGGAAACATTACCTTCAGTTTATAAACAAGAGAATCTAGGCTCAGAAGAGTAACACAGCTCTGAAGTTGCAGGAATAAGGTTCCAGCCTGGTATGTTGCCTTCACTTTTGCCATAAGAGCCTTTCCACTGTTGTGCAAAGATGCCACATGTGCCTCGGTATTATATTGTAATCTTCGATGGACAAGGGTTGCCTCTTTCATATTTGGCATTCCCTGAAGAGCATACTGGCTGGATCTCCCCTGAAAAAACTTATTTGAAAAACAGAGAATGCTGCTTATTGGATTTGGTGCAGTAAGTGGAAGTGTGAAGGGCATCTGTGCTTCATTTAGGAAGATGCTGCGGAAGAAAGGGCTCTATTAGATCTTTAAATAAAGAAAAGGGCAGCCTGGGAGACAAAGGAACATTGAAGAATAGGTGATCAGGGACTGTTTTCCAGGCACAGGACTGCCTCTTTTAAGTATCCTGGTCCCCAAAGCGACACTGCGTGTGATCGCTTTCACACCTACGATCCTATGCAATTCTCAAACAGACCCATGGGAGCAGGCAGTGAGGAACTATTGGCTTTATTTTACGGATGAAGAAACCCAGAGATTAAATGACCTGTCGAAGGGCAACCACTTATTAAGGGTCACAGGAGGGCTTGACTTCATGACACCTCTCTCCCAGGCTAGTTGTCTTCTCATTACACTGCTCTTGCTGCCTTTGTGATTTTTTTTTTCATCTCCCAATACAGTGATCACTGCAGTTCAAATTGGTTAAATAATCTTTGTGCCTGTGTCTGTTTTCTTTGTTGACTGTCTTTTTTATTTTTTTTATTATTTTTTATTTTTTATTTTTTTGCAGGGAAGAGGATCAGGGGTTCATTGGGCAGGTTCAGAGACCTTTTCCTCTCCAGATCTTTCTCTGATTTTTGCTGTTCATTTGACTTTATTTAGTCTTTGACCAGGAAAAACAAAAAAGTCAAATGCAATGCTGATGGACTAAAGCCAATCACACTTTTACCTTGTCACAGTCTCATTATGTTATCAGGACTGCTAAACTAATTATATAATAAAAACACTACTACCAATAATTAAAAAGCAAAAAGATAAAAAAACCTGGAAATCAGGGATTTCTAATCCTTATTAAATCATAAGGAACCGAATGATAAAAGTACTATGGAAATTACCATTTCTGAATTGCATCTTCTACTCAACCCCATGGATTTTTGTACACGCTCATCTAGTCTAGACCCCTGCTATTTAAAGTGTGGTCCTGAATTCAGCAGCACCAGCATCACCTGGGAGCTTTTTAGCAATGCTGACCCTTGGTCCCCACCCCAGCCAGGCCTGCTGAACACAAATCTGCATTTTCACAGGATCCCCAATTGATTCCTATGCACATTAAAATTTGAGAAGTATGCTGGTCCAGATCACTCTCATGTTCACACATAAGAATTTCAGTGGGTTCTCACTGCTTCCATATATGTCTGTTGCATCCACAAGCCCTTGTATGTCATGACTGAGTTTCTCTCTCCAGCCTTACTTACCATCATGAGCCTTTACAAATTCTGTCAGTCAAATTGAACTGCCTGCTGTTTCCCCAAATTTCCGGTGCTGTCCTTTGGCCTCATGATTGCACTCACCCCATTTCCTCTGTTTTGTATGCCTCTCCCTTTTTTCTGCTGACTCAGGCTTCTGTCATTCAGGGATACCAACTCCACAGAGCCTTTCCATATTGATTCAACCGGAATAATCTTATCTCCCTCTTTGTGCTCACATTATATGACACAGTGTAGTTCCTTGTGCACATTGTGAAGAAGGCACTCCTTCAGGCAGGGCCTGGTTCTGATTCACTTATATTCAGCATATCTCAGCCTAGTTCCCAGTGATTAGTACAGTGTGTGGCATATGGCTGGGCTCAGAACTTACCACACACTTGGCTCAGATTTAGTTCTGATCAAGTAATCCACTGTATGAAGCCCTTGGCTGATACTAGCAGGGTCCATCTGTTGTGTCCTGCCTCCGTGTCCATGGGCCTCCAAGCAACTCAAAGCCCAGTAAGACTTGCCTGTCTTCGGGTGAAAGCATTCAGGCTAGAAAGTGCCTCAAATCTATCAAGATGTTAATGACCTGTGGCAGGACTCTGGCAGCAACAAAAGCATCTCTCTTGCCAGAATCCATTTATACTGGGTGGGTGTTTTTGACAACCACTTAATTAAACACATTGCTTTTCTCTATAAATTCACCATGGCAGCAACCTTATCCTGATAGCGAATGGTCTCTGAGTGACCTGCATTATAAGACAGTGAGGGCACTTAGTTGCTACAGTCACAAATGTACTTGGAAGTGTTTATTTTCTCATGACTGCTACCAATTAGGGAGGACTCAGAAAAAGTCAAGAGGTGAAAGGAGTCTGATGCAGCGAAATGCCTAGCTCCATCAGTTAGCTATTTGGCCATGGTTGTACAAATCTCTTATGTCCTCTGGGCCTCAGTTTTATGATCTATAAAATAGGGATGTTAAGAGGGTTATTTCAATGCTTGCATTACTTAATAACATACAATACTTACAACAGTTTTTTTTTTTTTTGCCATATGTTATGTCATGTAAGAGTTGGCTTTTTATTACTATTATTAGTAGCAGTATTTATTTATATTCATTCATTCATACATTTATTTCTGTATTTACTGAGTTCCCTCTGTAAACCCAACTCTGCCCTAAGTGATGAACGTACAGTGATAAATAAGTCACATTTTCTATCCTCAAGGAGCTCTCAGTCTTGTGAGAAAGACAGACATGTAAACAAAGTCACAACAGAATATGATACATGCTGATATATGGCCCTACAAATGATTCCATGGGAACATAAAACTCACTGTGTATTGTTACATTAGATAAAGAAGACATCAAGATTTTAAAAGGAGAAGGGATTTCCAAAAGAAGTGATGGTATAAAACATTCCTGGAAGGCCAGACGCGGTGGCTCACACCTGTAATCCCAGCACTTTGGGAGGCCAAGGTGGGCGGATCATGAGGTCAAGAGATTGAGACAATCCTGGCCAACATGGTGAAACCCTGTCTCTACTAAAAATACAAAAATTAGCCAGGCGTGGTGATGCGGCCTGTAGTTCCAGCTACTCAGGAGGCTGAGGCAGGAGAATCGCTTGAACCCGGGAGGCGGAGGTTGCACTGAGTGGAGATCACACCCCTGCTCTCCAGCCTGGTGACAGAGCGAGACTCCGAGACTCCGTCTCAAACAACAACAACAAGAACAACAAAAACATTCCCGAAAAGAGAAGAATACGTGCAGAGTAACAGAGACGGGCTCAGGGAATCACAAACAGTTCAATGTGACCGGATTATAGCGAGCAAGAGTGAGAGAACTAGAAACAAGCTAGAAAAATAGGAAAGAATGAGAACGTAAAGAAATTCTGAATGCTAGTCCAAGGAGTCTGGATCATATTCTCTTCTGGAGTCACAAACTGGGGATCCATAGGCCATTTCCACTCTGCTCCATGTTTTTTTAAATCTAATTTTGAATGTCTTCAGGAAGGCTGTGTGCTCCCAGCTTGCCAACACATTGCCACTGCCCATTGCCTTACACCAGCCCCTCTTTATTCTCTAATGCAGTGTGCAATGGTGTGTGGGAACCAGCTCTCAGCCCTTCATGAGAGCCATCTGTGGGTGTCTCTTCCAACTTCTTGTTCAGGAACCTCACCTTGGTGTCTTGAAATCAGTTATGACAGTTATTTATACCAAGGTAATAAAGTCTAGACATTATTATTATGATTATTTTCGAACTTGTGTAATATTGACAGCACACCATTGCTTTTATGTTGCCTTCATGGCCACTATAGGCATTCTGTCTTAAGGTGCTGAAGGATATCAAGTAGGGTGTTGACATTGTTAGAAATGCATTAGGCTCTGGAAATAATTGCTCAATAATTTAAGCATAGTCTTCATTATTTAGGAGCCTGACAGTGTGTTTCCTTAAAGCAAACAAGACCTCAGTCTTAATAGTGAGGCTATCAACACTTTTAGACCATTTTAACAGCAGTTATACAAACAACTTTGATAGCCTGTTAGGAGTAAACATGCTGCTTGATTTACAAACAGTGCATTGTCTTCTCTCTAAGGGGTTTCCTAGGTTGTGCCAAAAAGTCCTGCAGGCAAGGTAGGGTGGGTTTAAGAACAGCAAGTAGAGCAGGAAGGGTGAAGAGAAGGAAGGCTGTGCTTCCAATGGTCTGTTCAGGGGACAGAACTGCACAGTCCAAGAGCTGCTGTGGTTTCAGAAATGCTTTGCTATGTGAATTAATTAAAAATGTAGAATGCTAAGTAAAGAAAATTACCAGGGACAGAGAAGGATATTATCTAATGATAAAAGAGACAATCCACCAAGAAGATAGAGCAATTCTAAATGTGAAGGTACCAAGCAATAGAGTTGAAAAGTACGTAAAATAAAAACTGATAGAACAGAAATGAGAAATAGACAAATCCATAATTATAGTTTGAGACTTCAACACTATTCTCTCATTAATTGGTATCACCGCTAGACAGAAGATCAGGAAAGATTTAGAAGAACTCAACAACACCATCAATCAGCTGGACCTAATTGATATTTATGGAACGATTCATTCAATAACAGCAGAATGCACATTCTTTTTAATCATCTACATTACATATGGATGCTGATGGAATATTTTGCTTATGCAAGAGCTACCATATCCTTAGCCACAGAATAAAACTCAACAAATTTGAAAGAATTAAAATCATACAGAGTATGTTCTCAGACTACAATGGAGTCAAACTAGAATTAAATAATTAAAAAAATAGGAAAATGTCCAAACACTCGGAAATTAAACATATTTCTAAATAATTCAGTGATCAAAGAGGGAATCTCAAAGGAAATAAAAAGTACAATAAACTGAATGAAGAAAAAATACAACTTATCAAAATGTGTGGGATGCAGCGAAAACAGTGCTGAAAGTGAAATTTATAGCACTAAAGAAAAAGTGTACATATTAATTAAGGGAAAGTCTCAAATCAACAACCTAAGCTCCTGCTTCAAAGAACTAGAAAAAGTAGAGCAAACAATCCCAAAATGAGTAGAAGAAAGTAAATAACTTAGATAAGAATAGCAATCAATGAAAAAATTAAACAAAACAAAATAAAACAAAAGAACAAAAGAACTATAGAAAAAATTAACAAAACAAAAATTTGGCTCTCTGAAAGGATCAATAAAATGGAAAGCATCTAGCAGGCTGACAAAAAAAAAAAAAAGAAAGAGAAAAGAGGAGACACAAGTTACTAA